GTGTTCACAGGCTCGTGGTTGAGGTGGAGGAGCATTTGAATGCTACACAATCATAGAGGGGTCGTTTCAAAGTTTCAATATGTTTCTATATTTTAAGCTATTTATATTTTTATTTATAATTGTATCCCAAACCCATTTCCCCTTTGTAATAAATTGAACAACACTTCTTGCAATGAGATTTCATTTTGTATTTGTGTGAAGTAATACTCCATTATAGTTTACTATATATATCATATTTGATATTTTATTATAGGAAAATATCTAATATTTGTCTTCTTGCAATTAGGTAGCTTTCCATTTATTACTATTTCCTTATCCTTCTAATTCATTTAATTATAAATAGATATCTTTCACACTACATTTAGGTAGGATGGATTATGCAAACATTCTCAATTTGATTATGATGTTATTTGTTGGTCTTCATTTTGATTTAAAATTTACCCCATTTTTTATCATTTATTTTATTCTATATTTCTTTTTATTTGTTTTTGGTCTAGTCTTTTTAGTCACAATCTCTGGTTTGAAGCCTAAAAAATCGAGTTGTGATAACTCTTGTTGTCATTTATCTGAGCTCCCCTTTATCTTTTCTTTTTCAGGTGTTTGCAGGCTAACTGTTGAGGTGAAGGAGCATTTGGGAGTTGCACAATCATAGAGGGGGTCGTCTCAAAGTTTAGTCTGTTTCTATATTTTAAGCCATTTATATTTTGATTTGTAATTGTATTCCAAACCCATTTCCCATTTGTAATGGGATATCATTTTGTAGTGTAACGACCCTAAATTTTCACATACTTAGAGTCCCTACTAATGTCTCATGCTCATCTATAATGTGGAAATATAACTCTTACATGAACATAATTTGTAACATAAACTTCAAAAAATGTTTAAAACATTTTCTCTGGAAAACATAGTCATGGTCTTACATGTTTAAATATGAAATACTGAAATTTAGAGAAAAAAAAAAAAAACAAATACAAAATAATTTAAAACAATGCAATGCAAAACAACTTATTCTAACTCAAGACTAGAAATTTAAATATGAATCTACCCTATGCACGTGTCATAGTCTCTATTCGCGATGCCACCGTCCTCTATACAAGTGCGCCTTGCTTTGACCTGAAAAATGATGTGGCACACGACCTGAGTATTTCAAAGAATACTCAGTAAGTGGCCCCACTATAGGGGGCTATACAAATGCAAACACATGCAATCATGATTTAGGAACCTATCTCTAATCATCTTAGGGGTGGCCTCTAGTCTCGGACAAATTGGATGTGTAGTACTTCCTTACACACGACTCACACATGCGAGTGTGAATCCCTAGAGCGCTCGCACACCCCCTGGACCCTCTGGTCAAGCTAATCTGTAGCGACGTCCAGAGGTCAACGGAACTCCATAGTATCATGCTTCTCATGAACACCCTCATCTGTGTGCATTTACACCTGTGCGCATTCGCGCTCATCATACAGTGCGCGTCCGCACTCATCATCTCTAGGGGAAGTAACCCTATGCTTATGAACATACAATATGCATGAGGTCCCTCTAAATCTATCATAATGTCTCGTCTGACACAACCCTCTAGTCTCATCTCTTTGTTACTCTAGATAAAACATACTCGTGGATATTTATATTAATATCATTTTCACGCTGTTAGGGTTGTGTAACAACCCAATCAATAAAGAAATAAACAAATAAAAATTATTATAAACAAAATTATTATTATGTAAAAAAAATTTAATAAATAAGTAAATAAAAACAGTTATTCCCTTGTTTCTCTCCACTAACAGTAGTCACTTCCCCAATAATCTCTCCTTTAACACACCTCACAATTCCTGCAAAATGAAAAAGAAATGAAAAATGTTAGATTCTCACATCAAATTTATAGGAGATGGGTTTATAGAGATGATCAAGATTTACATGGGAGAGAGATTTGAGATTTATCTGTAATTTATATCTAAAATCTCCTCTTCTCTATCCAATTATTTAGTTTTATTTAGCAATTTATCTGTTAGAAATATATCTCATGATGAATAACAAAAAAAAAAAAAAAGTAATTGGTAAAGTAATTGGAAAGGTAACAAACAAAAATAAAAAGAAAGGTTTAAACAGATTTAACATATCAGAATTTCTTCACTCTTGCAAAAACAAACACAAAAAAAAAATTCGATTTAGTTTTTTTAGTAAGATATTTTTGCTAGAAAGAGATATTGCATTTGAAGAGGTTAGTAGTTTCATTTTATTTTATTTAATGATATTAAAAGTCATAGTGAGACAGAGAGGGATAATTAAAAAAAGGAAACACAGTAAGAGACAGGGAGGGAAGATTGTGAATATAATTGAAATTATCTGAAAAATGTTTAAAGGTATTAAACACCGTAAGAGAAAATAGAATATCTGAAAAATTGTAATGGGTATTAAATGGTTTGTATGAAAATAATACTATAACAAACATATATAAATATTTCAAGACCTAACTCAGGCAAAGAATCTAGCGTTCGCATAAAGTATAACACATGGATCAACATAAATTAGAAAAATAATTTTATAGAAATTCAAACTTGAAACTAATGTCATGGGCTCACATAGGTTGACTTGGAGTTCAATGGACTTTCATTAAGGATAACGATGGAACATCAACCTAAGCTAACCAGGTAAGTGACCTTACTATTGGTTATATTTGATGTTGACACGTGCCCTGTGGTTCTGCACTTGTCATATATATTGATATGCGTGAATTGTCTGTGGATCGATATGTTTTCTATATGTTATGTATATGTTATAATTTGCGAATTGTATGATAATAAGTACGGTACGATGTGTTCAAGGATATGTTTGAAATAGGATACAAGAAGGATGCACAAAACGAAATGTAACGATATGAGAAAAATACGTTTATGAAACGTTAAGGTTAGGTTACATACCGAAGTGATATGGATAAGAGACATTGATGAAAGAATACGGTTAGGTTACGAGTAGAAAGGGATAGGTTTGTGATAGATTGATAGAATGATAGCGTTAGGATTGATAGAACGATAGCGTTAGGTTAAGTTCTTGTGATGATATGACTAAGGTACGTTCACGTAATGATATGTCTGTGATAGGTATAAGAACCTTAAGGCTATGATAAGTTAGAGAACGATATGACTACGAAGTGTTTACGTTACAACTTGTTTATTATATGATACATTGTAATGCAATATGTCATGGTATGATGTGTATATGATGAAATGTTATGTTAAAAGCATAGAACGTTATGTTAGGTCTCTTAAATTGTGTGTATACAGCATGATATGAATGACATGAAATTACGATAAATGGCATGAAATATAACCCCGTTAGAATTATGTATGATTTGAGAACGGAAGAATGAGAAACGATATGATATGAATGATGAACGTTATCTGAAACGATATGAAAAATGATATGATATGTACATAATGCTAGCGGGGTTGTGTTAAAGGATAATGAAAATGGAAAAGTTTTGGGACCTCATGCATTATGTGTGCTCATGCATTTGAGGCCAGACCCCTAACCCATCACAAGGGTACGGACGCGTACATCCAATGGCAGGACAACGATCGTTATGCTTTGCATAGCGCTGCCGTGACGGTTACTAGTTCTAACGGATTCCGGCATAAGGGGCTCCTAGAGTATGCCCACCGGATAAGGAAAGTGGCCCAGTGGAGTGCAAACTAGTTGGTGAACCCATACTCGCATGTATGGACTGTGTGTAGAGTAATGGTACACGTCCAAAGTTTACCTATTAGAACAGCACCGTAGGGAAAACAAAACGAAACGAAAGATAGGTCCTATCATTTCATTGCATGTGATTGTTGCATTTAACCCCAATAGTGGGGTCACTTACTGAGTATTTCTTAAAATACTCAAGTCATATGCTACTACATTTTTCAGGTTAAGGCAAGACATTCCTGTACGGCTGACGACAGCATCGCAACTCGAGACCATGGCACATGCGTAGGATAGTGGTATTTATTTTCTTAAACTTAAGCTAGAATAGGATGTTTTTAACTTAAACTCTTATTCATTTCATTTAGTCTTTTGTTGTGTCGTTTTAAAGATTTTTTTGAAACACGCAAGTCATGGCTATGTTTTAAGATAAAGATTATGTTTTATGGAATTTTAATGAAGTCCTCCGCATTCAATGTTTATGGTACGTATACAGTAGCGACCTTAAATTAAGTAGAAAATTTTGGGTCGTTACAGGTTGTGTCCTATGTCAATCTAACGACATGATGCAATATGGCAAACAACATCATAAGGCATGCTCAACATGAAAAACATCATGTTAATAACATCGTCATGATGTCACAATAGAACACTTAAGTGCATTAGATATAATAGGTACATCATGCATTGAAACATAAATAACGTACACTTAACATACATCACAATAGAACGTCATACTCATACATCATCATAATTCAAACAATCTTTAGCCTATCCTTTAGTAAGGTCACTCACTTGATTAGCTTATACTGGTGTCACCAATTTATCTTTAATAAAGTTCGATTTTTTCCCTTTGTATTCAAGCCAACCTATATGAATCCATGACATCAATTTCACGTTAAATTCTCTAACTCTTACAATGGTTCATGTGCTAGACTTCATGCGAGCATTAAAGACTCTGCATGAATAAAGTCTTCGAACGTTATAATATACATCTATATATATATATTTTATATATTTTAAAGATTTCATTTTCTATTTTTTTATTTTGAGTAGCTACTTTCTTATTGTTTGTGTGCTCTATGACCAATTTTTTTAAATCAATTCTTACTTAATCATAGTCGATTCTTACTCCCAATTTTTTCCTTTTATTTTTCTCTTCTTATATATTTCTTTTTTTTTGTTTGGTATTTTGGTCTCTGTGTATTTCCTCTTTTCTTTCCTTCATTAATTATTCTTTCCAAATCTTTTTTTATCTTATTTGTATTTTTTTTCTTCAATTATTTTTGTTAACATTTAAAATTCACAGATATTACACATCATAACCAAAAATCTAAATAACATCATAACCAACATCATAACATCATTTATTTATTTTGTATTTGTTCTGTATTTGTCTCATTTATTTTTCTACAACCTAACATCATAACCAAAAATCTAAATAACTGGGCAAGGGAACAAGAGATTTAATTCGAAATCTAATTCTGAATAATTAGACTGTTGTTTATCGACAATCGGCAAGGATAATCGGCAAGTGAAATCATTTTCGGTGAGAGGAAATTGTTTGATGGGGAGTTGTTGGAAGAAAATAAAAATGGGAAAAGGGAGAGAATTGGTAAAGACTTTTGGGTAAGATGAGATATATCTATTTCTGAACAGATTCACTGTTTAAATATTTAACTAATCCTTGCCACTACCAACTAAATCTGTGCTACTAAATCTAGCCAACTAAATTTGTGCTGCAACTAAATCTGTACTACTAAATCGGGCAAACTAAATCTGGCCTACTAAATCTGGTCAACTAAATCTGGTCAACTAAATCTTGCCAACTAAATTTGGCCTATTAAATCTCGCCTACTAAATTTGTGCTACTAAATCTGCACTGCTAAATCTATGCTACTAAATCTGGCAAACTAAATATGTGCTACTGGCCAACTAAATCTGGCCTACTAAATCTGGCCTACTAAATCTGCGCTACTAAATTTGGCCAACTAAATCTGCGCTACTAAATCTGGCCAACTAAATCTGGCCTACTAAATTTGTGCCTACTAAATCAGTGCTACTATAAATCTGGCCTACTAAATCTATGCTACAAAATCTGTGCTACTATCTATGCTACTAAATCTGCGCTACTAAATCTGGGCTACTAAATCCGTGCTACTAAATTTGGTCAACAAAATCTGTGCTACTAAATCTGGCCTACTAAATCTATGCTACTAAATTTGGCCAACTAAATCTGGCCAACTAAATCTACGCTACTAAATTTAGCCAACTAAATCAGCCCTACTAAATCTGGCCAACTAAATTTGGCCTACTAAATCTGGCCTACTAAATCTGTGCTACTAAATCTGTGCTACTAAATTTGTTCTACTAAATCTGTGCTACTAAATCTGCTCGACTAAATCTGGCCTACTAAATCTGCCCTACTACATCTGCCCTACAAAATTTGTGCTGCTATCTATGCTACTATCTGTGCTACTAAATCTGTGCTACTAAATTTGCGGTACTAAATCTGGCCAACTAAATCTGTGCTACTAAATCTGGCCAACTAAATCTGTGCTACTAAATTTGACCAACTAAATCTGGCCAACTAAATATGTGCTACTAAATCTGGCCTACTAAATCTGCGCTACTGAATCTGGCCAACTAAATCATGCTTACTAAATCTGGCCAACTAAATCTGCGCTACTAAATCTGGCCAACTAAATCTGGGCTACTAAATCTGGCCTACTAAATCATGCTTACTAAATCTGTGCTACTATAAATCTGGCCTACTAAATCTGTGCTGCTAAATCTGTGCAACTGTCTGTGCTACTAAATCTGCTCTACTAAATCTGCGCTACTAAATCTGGTCAACTAAATCTGTGCTACTAAATCTGGCCTACTGAATCTAGTGCTACTAAATCTGGCCAACTAAATCTGACCAACTAAATCTGGCTTACTAAATCTGGTGCTACTTTGGCAAACTAAATCTGACCAACTAAATCTGTGCTACTAAATCTGTGCTACTATAAATATGTGCTACTAAATCTGTGCTAATATTTGTGCTACTAAATCTAATATTTGTGCTACTAAATCTGGCCTACTAAATCTGTGCTACTATCTGTGCTACTAAATCTGCGCTACTAAATCTGGCGAACTAAATCTGTGCTACTAAATCTGGCCAACTAAATCTGTGGCTACTGAATCTGGCCTACTAAATCTATGCTACTAAATCTGGCCAACTAATCTGGCCAACTAAATCTGTGCTACTAAATTTGGCCAACTAAATCTGGGGCTACTAAATCTGGCCAACTAAATCTGGCCTACTAAATCTGGCCTACTAAATCTGGCCTACTTCTACAAAATTGAAACGTGAGGTTTGTTTTAAATAAGCAAATCAACTAAATCATATTTATTTTAAATAAGAAAATCAACTAAATCTGTGCTATTTCCTACAAAATGGAAACCTCAGGTTTGTTTTAAATAAGCAAACCTCAGGTTTGTTTTAAATAAGCAAACCTCAGGTTTGTTTTAAATAAGCAAACCTCAGGTTTGTTTTAAATAAGCAAACCTTAGGTTTTATCTAACAATTTTCTCCTAAAAACTGTGGTATGTCCTCTAGACTCCACCTTTTGTTCGGCCACTTCTTTTTCGAGTTGGCGCGCCGCTAGTTCAGGTGGTTCACCTCTTCTTACTAGATCTTCCATCCTCCGGTACCTGGCCGAGAGGCTGACTGGTTGCTCTATCCCCAACTCTAGGATGTAAAGGCAGTTTGTCGTGCACCGAACTTGCTCCCGAACTTGTGTGAGCAACCGCCGTCGATCATCGCGGATCCTAAGTAGCCCGCGCTTGATGGAAATGTGGTAGCCGGCCTCATCGAGTTGACCCAGGCTCACAATATTAGCCTTAAGCCTCGGGATGAAGTAGACGTTGGTCAGCTTGTGGCGCTTGCCTCCCTTGCCGACAAACAGGATGGTGTCACGCCTTTCGATCTCGACGACGGAGCCGTCGCCGAATTTCACCGTCCTGCGAATCCCCGAGTCAAGCTCGGAGAACGCAGACTTCGCCCCGGTCATATGGTTTTTTGCCCCCGTGTCGAGGACCCATCACCGGTGCTCTTGCTGCTCGCCTCTTTCACCGATTTGAGTGAACACTCGCTCCTCATTCAGTTGAATTGGCTCCCCAGCCGGTGCCTTTGTTATGCACAATTGGAGCTCTTCCTCGGGTTTGACGCTTACCGGAGCAGTTATGCCGTCGTCGATTACCTCCATGGATTTGAGGAGCTCTTCCTCGGGTTCGACGCTCACTGGAGCAATTATGTCGTTGTCGATTACCTCCGTGGATTTGGAATTGGAATTAGGGACGTCAGGTAGGACTGATGCAGTCACCATGAGAAGAGTCGACTCGTCCTCCTCGGATTGAGCCACATGGGCCTTCTCGGCCGTCTCCTTGTTCCTGAGGTTGCTCCAGCAATTCTTGCTCAGGTGACCTCTAATACCACTTGTTGTTTTTCGACAATTGGCAAGGATAATCGACAAGTGAGTGAAATCGTTTGATGGGAGCAATTCTTGCTCAGGTGAGCTATGATACCACTTGTTGTTTTTCGACAATCAGCAAGGATAATCGGCAAGTGAGTGAAATCGTTTGACGGGAAGTTGTTGGAAGAAAATAAAAATGCGAACAATAATAGAGAGAGAGAATTGTTGAAGACTTTTGCTTAAAATGAGGTGATGATATATGAACAGATTCACTTTTTAAATATTTAACTTATATTAAATATGGCACGAGAGTGGCCAACTACATATGCTCTACTTCCTACAAAATGCCATCTAAAAAGAAATATGTGCTACTCCCTACAAAATGGCCATCTAAAAAGTTAGTAATCCAATCCATTCGACATGTTTGTCAAATGGTAAAGGGAATATATTCAATCAACTAACAGAAACCTTTTAGATAAGGAAACCTAACCTCAGGTTTTAAATAAGGAAACCTATAAATGAGAAGAAGATCTCCAATATGGCTTAGTGTCATAACAAAGCTGCTAGATAAAACTTGAGTTTTTCAGTTTTTCCTTATTTAGATTATTTCAGAATACTTTCGTTTGATCATTTGACAAAAACGTTGAATGGATCACCAAAAGTTTTAGACTGCTGCACATATTTAGTTGGCCACTCTTCAGCTATTTTTAGGATAGTTTATATTTAAATAGGAAATGTGTTCAGAATATTGAATAACCTGATTTTGAGCACAGTCAAAATTTCAGCCATTCTCTCTCTTTTATTTTACCCATTTTATTTTTCTTCCAATAACCTCTCGTCGACGATTTCCTGTCACCGAATTTCTCTGGCTGATTATTGAAAAACAACAAAAGCAAGATCTCTCTATTCTTGATTGAGACTGATGAGTTGGTTCGTTGAGGAGAGATAACTATGCATCCTCTATTATGGATTGAGATTTTGACTGATGAGTTGGTTAATGACAAATAGTTTGGGAGAGGAAGGGGGTTAGTGGAGAGTAGTTATGGAAAATTATTATTTTAATTATTTAATTATTTACTTCTTATTATTATTATTATTCTTTTTCTTTTTATTATTTTTTTTTCGGAGTCTTTACATTATATTTGGTTGTTCTCTTATTTGCTTGTCTTCCTTTTGATTTAAATTTTATCCTGTTTTTATGATTTTTTTTTCTGTTTCTTTTTATATTTGCTTTTGGTCGGTCTTTTTAGTCACAATATGTTGTTTGAAGCCTAAAAAATTAAGTTGTGATAACTCAACCCGGTTGAAGCGTAGTGATCATACGTCTGTAATGCATTGTATGTCCTATAATTGGTCCCATTCTTCTACCCTTTCTCGGGAGTCAGATGACTATTCATAGCTATTACCTTGACACCAAAGAAGAGTTCGACCCAATGCTTTATTTCTGTCCTAGTTGATCCCGATTCGACATTAGTTGTTGTCTTTTATCTCAGCTCTTTAAGGTTGTGCAGTTTGTTAGTGACTTTTTCCTTTGTCATCATTTTTGTATGGCAGCTTATTTTTGCTCTGACTTATGTAAAACACTTCTTTTTCACCTGTTAGCTTGATACCTTCTAGTTGGTTAACCGTGAATTCTTGACTGGCTAGCAAATTTTCAAACTCTACAAGTAGTGGCTGAGCGGACCGTCTTTGTACAATATTAACGAAACTTCTATATTCTTGTTCAAATCCATGGATGATGATCTTTTTCATTCGAGCTTCTCCTTTGACGGACTCCGAATCTAATTCAGTAATCTTATAACATATTGACTTAACCCTATAGAAGTACTGAACAATTGTCATGTCACATTGTGTGATTGATAATAACTCGT